ATGTATGTATGTGAATGTGGTGTTTATGAGCGTGCAACGACAGCAGTCGCAGTAACAGAAGGTGACGATAGCGTGACAACATAAGCAACAACAGTATTTAGAGTAGCAACAGCAGTTCTCTGGAGAGCAATGAGGGATGACAGTGCGGAGAGGAAACTGTCTACCTTGGTCTCGTTTTGTCAGATGCACCTGAGGGAGAATTTACATTTACATATATTCACGTTTGCTCTCCTTCGTCTTACCCTCTCCAACAGGATACACATTTTGCATCTCGTCACAGTTACCGGAGACATTTGCTTTTACTTTGTGAATGTACTGCGATGTTCTGAAATTGTACAGTTAATATATATATAGTGATGTTGGGTATACGTTTAATATTCTTCCATAAATTCCTGCTGGTTTATTCTCTGTTGCATCTGTTAGTTGTATATATCTTTATAAATATAGTGTTAGGTTTAGATCTAGATACTCTCCGTTTCACGTAAACGCTAATATGGAAGACGTCCTATACGATTATACATTTTTTCATGTGACTGTGATGTTGGAGTCTCAATTATAGCTAATCTTTACTTTTAAAATAATAATATTGAAAACTAAATAAACACAAATAAATAAATTACTACTTGTTAGTGTAAGAAGGATTCCAGAAGTGTAAAAAAAAGACAACGAAACGCGGGTTGAATGCCCGTAGATTTATACAACTATCAGTTCGAACATCCTGATTTCTTTTTTTTAATACCATATATTATCTTTAACGAATGCGTGTAATCTGAATCAATCAACTAAATCAAAACCAACTACATCGAAAATTATAGCGATGATCGTGAATTTACAGTTACCAACTCTTTACAGTGACGGTGGTGCCAGAACTGGGGTGTTCATGTCTATCGATGCCAACTTGGAATTACATGAAGAGGATGGGAAGTTCGATCTATATGGCTACCTGAAGAAGATGAGACAGGCACGCCGTGGACTTATTGAAACAGTGGTAAGTTAATGAATTCCACCGTATATATATATTTTTTTTGTTATCATATCCCACAAAATATGATAACTCTAGTACACCTCACATTATTTGTTTATTTGAAGTAAGATATAAAGGAGAAAAGTACACGTACAAAACGACTTGAAAAAAAGCTATTCTAACTTACAGAACCAATTTCCTTTACAGAAGTTTATTCACTACAAAGACGAAACACAAACAAACGAAAAATACACACACACATAAAACTTCTGAAAAAAACAACAAGAAAACTAACTAATCTCCATTTCCTTTTCTTTCACCCAAAAGGACCAGTACCGATTTGTGTTTGATGCTCTTGAGGAGTTCCTTCTCTGTGGCTACTCTTTCTTCCCAGTCAGTGAACTCTCACAGCGGCTGAAGCATAAATCGATGAAGGTCTTAGGTAACAAGAGCGAATATCAAGTGGAATTTGAAGTAAGTATCATGACCTTTCTGTTTCTTTATTTTTCTTTTTCTTTTTCTTCTTTTTCTTTCTTCTTTTTCTTTCATCTTTTTCTTCTCTTTTGTTGTTTTTTTTATTTTTATTTTCGTCTCCTTTCTCTTTTTCTTTTTCGTCTTCTGCCTTGTTTCTGTTTCTTTTTCTTCTGCTTTTCTTTTTCTTCTTCTTTATTTCTTTTTCTTTTTATTATTATTCTTTCCTTTTTCTTCTTCTTTTCTTTTTCTTCTTCTTCTTTGTTTCTTTTTCTTTTTATTATTATTCTTTCCTTTTTCTTCTTCGTTTTCTATTTTTCTTATTATTATTTTCTTGTTATTTTTTTCTTTTCTTTTTCTTTTTCCTTTTTCCCTTTTCTTCTTCTTTTTCTTGTTCTCTTTATTTTCCTTTTCTTTTTCTTTTCCTTTTTTCCATTTTCTTCTTCTTCTTTTTCTTTTCGTTTTCTTTCTCTTTTTCTTTTCCTTTTCTCTTTTTCTTTTCTGTTTCTTCTTTTTCTGTTTCTGTTTTTTTCTTTTTCTGTTTCTGTTTCTTCTTTTACTTTTCTTTTTCTTTTCTTTTCTTTTTCTTGTTCTTTTTTTTTCTTTTTATTTCTTTTTCTTTCTTTTTCTATTTCTTTCTCTTTCCTTTTCTTTTTCTTTTTCCGTTTTCTTTTCTTTTTCTTGTTATTTTTCGATTAGCGCACAGCGATATAGGCTTACATTATAGTTCATATCTTAAAATAGGTTAACGTTTGGGATAATGGGAAAGGAAAAAAAGAAAGAAATATTATAATTTCTTATAGTTTCATGAGACTAGCTGATAAGGGTAACATTTATGATTATAAAAATGATTATTAGAGTAATAATGGTAATAACAGCAATGATAATAAAGATGATGATGATGATAGAAACGATGATAATGACAGTAGTAGACGTAGTAACGATAATGATAATAATGATAATAGTAATAATGAATGTAATAATAATGAATGTAATAATAATAATAACAATTATCCTCATTATCATCATCATTATCATTATCATTATCATTTTTATCATTATAATCCACATATTAATAAATGAACACTGTATGTGTGTGTGTGTGTGTGTGTGTGTGTGTGTGTGTGTGTGTGTGTGTGTGTGTGTGTGTGTGTGTGTGTGTGTGTGTGTGTGTGTATGTGTATGTGTATGTGTATGTGTGTGTGTGTGTGTATGTGTATGTGTATGTGTATGTGTATGTGTATGTGTATGTGTGTGTGTGTGTGTGTGTGTGTGTGTGTGTGTGTGTGTGTGTGTGTGTATGTGTGTGTGTAGACAGAACGAACTGAAAAAGAAATAAAATCCTTTGCATTTACCTCTTGTACAATTAGCATATTATTTGTTGTATTGAGAGTTGCAGGAATATATTTCCATTAATTTATGTAATACGATGGAATACTTTCATTGGGCCAAGAAGTGTAGCATAATTCATCAAATAAAATATGTAACGATTAATTTCTTTCCTTACAAGCTTTCACGGTGGGAGAGGAATACAGCTTCAACAGATAGTATATATATGATTAAGCTACCCATCTACTTAATGCTACATGCCATGCCAGCATACCAACAGGATTTTATACCAAATATCAAAGTATAAGTGTACATGGTTTGCATATATATAATAAAAATGACAATGCAGTTGTAGATATGCCGTGATGTCCTTATGCAAAAGAAGGCTGACTGTTGCAATTATATTTTATCTTGTGTTTGCAATCCACTGGTGATAATCTCGTGAAATCGTAATATTATGTGTGTGTTAGATTCGATGAAGAAATGCCTGTGATGAGATTAATCAAATTTTTCTGTGAGAGAATGTGTATGTTTTACTTTGCTCTTTAGTTCGTGCAAAAATGAACGACACTCTTAGGCAATATGCAAACCAGGGAATAAGAGTCATTCAAGAGTCCTATAAAGTTTTAAGTAGGACTTGATTTTTTTTTTCTTTTTTTGATGTGATGTTGAGCATAAGATGGTATGATATAGGATATAAAACCTTTCAGTTCCGAGGACTAAAGGTTATGTAAAAAAAAAAATCGTGAAAAATCTGAAAATCTTATTGAAGTAATTTTGTTGTTTTGGAAATTGTTGTCGTACATATTAAAATGATTTTGGGTTTCCATTTTGAAGTCTTGAAAATCTGAAAATCTTATTGAAGTAATTTTGTTGTTTTGGAAATTGTTATCGTACATATTAAAATGATTTTGGGTTTCCATTTTGAAGTCTTGGTTTGGTTGCATACTATCATATTGTGTACAAACTTGCTGTGTTAAATCACTTTATGTATGAATGATATAAGTGTATAAAGAGTTTAGGTTGATAGTAATACCTTGAAGTGATGCAAATTCTCTGTTATATTTCAATATATTGTGATACAATGACTATAATTCTGTTAATGTGATACATGACTTACAGTACTATTTCCTATGGAATTTTATAAGTGGGAAATTATGAATTCAAGTTTTACTACATTCCATACCCATTTATTTTTCAACAGAAACGATTCGGTGTAGATTTTAGCTTGTATGAACCTCGTAACCAGATTTGGTCCATGAATCTCCCATGTGGCTTTGAATGTCTATAGGATTTTTTAAAGTGGTAATTTGTGAAGTCGTGTTACCTTGGCGTAACCCGTGACACATTTAAACATAAGCTTAAATGAACCTTCGAAATTCTGCTCTCAAAATTGTCTTGTCTCTATGTATAGCACACGCAGTCCCCATGCTTAACAATAAATTCCGCTGGACTGTAAACAATGAAATAATTTTAGAATTTCACAAAAGACGGTTACAGTTGTTTTGCACGACATTAATTTGCTGCACAAATTTGTGATAGTGTTAGCCTTGTTAGTCAAATTATTCATATCTCTTATGTCTTATATAGTCAAAATTACTTGTAGGAAACACTAGTATCTTTAATAAAGAAATGTTTACATTTATGGAATACCTCATGTCCGTAAAGGTTCACCAACTGAATTAAAATCAAATATAACTTTCACAACTATTTTAGTAACTCCTTTCGCCAACACTGAAAAATATATATATTTATATATATACATTATAATACTACTGTTGTATATTTCCTGCATTGGCAGTTTATAGAGTATATAGAAGTATGATAATTTTCTGTCCTATTTGATATAAAATACTGATTATCACCTTAGAAATTTAGTTATTTAAAGTTACAATCAATGTCATTGTTCTAGAAGTTTTGGGACTTTTCTTATTTTTCTTGTTGATAATTTTTGGTCATTTGTCACTCTTAAAATTGAAGTTTGAAGACCGACAAACAGTAGACAGACTGAGCATTTCTGGTGCTATAGGAAAATTAAGTAAGTATGACATATAAAAATATTTTAATTATGAGTAGTTTAAAAAATATAAGTGATGCTTCAGAATTTTCTATCTTGGTAGTTACAAAAAAAATGACTTGATGTTAATATCACATTACTGACTTCTACTTCGTTGCAAGTATATATTGCATTTCAGCGGCAAATCCAGGATATTTCAGAGAATTTTGGGTTGGATTGACTGACTATTTTACTGCCCCTTTTATGCAAATTAATGTGATTAATGATGTAAATTTACAAAAAAAAAAAAAAAAAAAAAAAGCTGTTGATAATTTTAGATAAAAAATTCACTTGCCGTTTTCCCCATTACCCCCCTGGATTTGCCCCTGAAACATTGATATCAAAAATATATATTGCAGAATCCTCATCTTATAGGATTTGAACAAAGGATTTTAAAAATAGACATTTATTTAAATCTGACTTTTTTTTATTTGCATGAAATCTAAGAAGCCAATAATAGATTGTGTCTCATCAGTATTTTTAATTGCACTGAATATTACTTGCTAAACAAGAAAATTAATCTCTTCATCATATTTCAGCAAATTTGCAAGATGACTCCCAGATTTACAATTGGAGATTGTGCAGGTGGCCATCGAGCTGATAACAGAGTCAAGAACCGCAATGTTCTCTGTGTTCCACGTGAGTAAAAAAAATCTCTCTCTCTCTCTTTCTTTTTCTCTTTCTCTTTCTCTATCTTTCTTTTTCTCTTTCTCTTTATCTCTCTCTCTCTCTCTGTCTCTCTCTCTATTTCTCTCTCTAATTCTCTGTGTATATCTTTTTCTCCATCTCTATATTTCTTTTCCCTTTCTTCTAATTTTAATGGCATCTCAAATCTCAATTTTTTTTTCATCTTTATTTCACCTCTAATGCTCAGTCATTATCAATAACCAAAGGCATTTTCATATCGTCACAGAGTTATAATTCAATCTTATGTATCAGTTTTTTTTTTATTAAAAGAATAAGAATAAGAATTGATAAGAATTTTCTCACGTTTCCGACAGCGGACAACTCCAGGCCGTACATTACATCATTCCAAGGGAACAGCAACACAGATTATATCAATGCAGTTTTTGTTGATGTAAGTATTTTGTGACATGTTTTTTTGTTTTTTTTTATTGTGAAATAAAGAGCAGCGTAAATATATTTGTTAGATTTCTTCTTTGTCTTCGAGTAATTTGTATATTGTATATATATGACAATGCTAAGTTGTAACTTTTTACTGATTTTATTATCTTGATTTGAGTTTATAATCTGTCATGGCTTAATCTTTTTTTTTTATCTTTTATTGCCATTTTTTTTTCTTTTCTTCTTATTTTAGAATGTGAATATTACATTTAGCTGTTAAGTTATCTTACTTGAGAATACTTCTGTTCAGTACAAGTTAAAGGCATTTTCAGTGTCACGACTGTACCTCAATCCCAAACCATATAGTTATACCAGTTGCACCTTACCTATGCTGATGACCCAGTGCATGCCTCATATAAATCTGTCTTTGCATCATGGTTTCTGACCCTGATTTTTCAAGGATATTTTTTTGCATATTGGAGATGAATATTTTGCATTTTGAACCCATATCCTGTTAGATAATACTGGTGCTCAAAAACCTTAACGAGTCTTAAGGTGAGGTTCCTTGACTTTTTGCATTGGAAGTCAGCCTTAAAGCAGTATCATGCACCGTTTTTTTCTTTTTTTTTTCTCTCTGTATGACCCTCTCACCTTAATTTTGATCCCGTGCTTTTCCCCCATCTTGTATTTTTTTGGCGGCTGCAAAGGGTTACTTAAGGCCTCGAGAATACGTTGTGGCTGAATGGCCCCTAAGGTCGACCATCTCGGACTTCTGGTCTCTTGTGTACGACCACGATGTGACCTCCGTTGTGGTCCTCTGCAACCCGCTTCTAGCAGAGGCTTCGGTAAGGTGCTGATGATGCCACAGCATTGAATTTTAGGCATTGAATTTTGAGCCAAAAAAAAAAAAAAAAAAAAAAAAAAAAAAAGCAATAGAGCAAGTAGCATTTGTAATGTTTTTTTTAGATACGGTATACTTTTATTTAGTGGATGCCTCTTGAGTCCTCCGGAAATATGGTAAGATAACTGGGAATCTGTACTTTCATATGCTGAGCTGTTCTTATTGTTCAAACACTTTGCAACGGCACTTTACAGGTGAATCAACCAGCAGTGAAAAAATTCCCTAATCATTTGAGAGTTTGTGCATAGAGTTAATGTGCATGGAAGAAAAGTTTTGTTCTCTTAATAGCTTCTCATAAACACCAGAAATTGAATGCTGTTGGCTGATTTACGTAGTCAAGTACACAATTATGAGATCCAGCCTTGGATACCATATACTGTCCCTTGACTTAGTTCCAGCTCCTTGATTTCATCCAAGCTTGATTATGTGCATCCGTTCTCACTGGCTGTGTCTTCCGTAACCATGAGATGACAAAAGCATCCCCACTGAATGTCTAACAATGTATTCACTTCTAATATCTGTGGCATTTTTTCCTTTTCCCGGTAACCCCTCGGAGTGTGGATGTGTAAAGACTCCTGGCATGTCCTGCCTTCTCTCTCTGTCAGTGTTTTCTTCCTTTCATTTCCCAGGAGTTTGGTCCCATCTTTTCAGGGCTACACCCACCCACGAGAGTACATAGTGACGGAATGGCCGACTACTCAGACGTTGGGAGAT